CAGCCCCCTGTGCCCCAAGACAGACACAGTCCCAGAAGCACTCATGTCATGAGTTTTGCCTGTCAGCAGCCAGAGGTGCAGGGCCCCAGAACCCCTGCACCGACAGCTGGCAGGCTTCATGGCCTCAGCAGGGGCTAGCAGGCCTGTAGCTTTCACCCTGCTGCACTTTAACATACATAGTGTCACCCACGTCATGAGTTTTGCTTGTCCGCAGCTTGAGGTAGTTTTCTGCAAAGACCTGCACCTATCTCCTTAAAACTTGGCAGGCTTTGTGGCCTCAGCAGGGGCTAGCATGCCTGCAGTTTTGACCCTGCTGCGGCTTAACACATACGCGACATGAGTTTTGCTTTCAAGACTTTGGGGTACATTTTCCCCCAACCCCCTGCACCTATCTCCTTGAAACTTGGCAAGCTTTATGCCCCTAGAAGGGGCTACCATTCCTGCAAGTTTCACCCAGATCAGGCCAGAAATGACAAAGTTATAGGCTGTTTCAACCTTCCCCATTATAGCCTATGGGCAAAATGTTAAAACAGCCTCGAAATGGCAAAACATTTCAACTTGCCTCATTTTGTTTTGACTATATCTGTTTCATTTTGATTTTGCTGTTTCAACCTTGAAATGAGTCGAAACAGCATTGAAACAAAGCTGGCGGCGAAATTTCGCACAGCCCTAATATTTAGTGACAATTCAGAAAGATCTTTTTTTTTCCCTCCCAATGGAAACAAAGTAATAGTTGTGTACAAATGACATAGTACAGACCTGGACAAACAGATCTGAACCTTTTATATAGGACTTGATACAAACTCACATCCTAAACTTTACAAAGGGTTGAGGGGAGGGAAAGAAAAATAAATACTACCTTGGTAGAATTTACTTCAAAAACTACTTCTGTGTAAGTTCCATGCCAGAGCCGTAGATAATCTTCACGTGCCCTTCCTGGCTTCAGACACTGCCTTGCTAAGTCTCTGGTCTGTGCCTGATGTCCTCCACCTATTACATCACCTCACTAAGGTTTCCATTGGGCCAGCTGTCACCAGAGAAGCAGCTCTTGTTTGCAACACTCTTCATTTGGCAAAGACTGTCCCTTACTATCTTTTTGTATAGCATCTACTATTGAAGAGTGCCTCATCTCCTTCAAGGCTCACAAACAAATCAGAATCAATCAGGAGCAGAGCCTGATGTTTATAGACTACAGATCCAGCCTCCCAGAAATCTGTTTCTTGTTTACTTCTTTAAAATTTATCTTTGGGTGCAGCCCTTTAACTACGAGGAGCAGAACTTAATTTTCTGAGGCATCATGAATTCATGACTGCTAATTTGAGCTCATTTTACTTGGTGAGTTTTTCTGTTTTACGCTCCGTGCTCAGAGACAGTAGCATGAAAATGTTACCTGAACAATGCATAGGCTTTAAAGAAGAAATATATCCATATATAAAAGAGACAATACTGAGGACAACCCTACTTTACATCACCTTGCATCTGAATATCAGCAATGTCTACAGACAGTAGAACTCAAGTTCCTTTCACTTATGGTTTTTCCCCATGGTTCAAAGTCCATATAAATTTAAAAAATAATGAAAGTGAAGTTTAAGACCAACTAAGTAAAGCAAAAGTGTATGGGCAACGGACCACAAATTTCACAGAGGTTTCTTCTAAAGAGAACTATGGGAATTTCTCCAAACAGTAGCAGTACATAGTTAAGGAATCCCAAGTTCTCTGAACAGGCTATGTCAAGGAAGCTACAGCTGCCACCACAAGAGGCCCCCCAGCTTATTGATTTCTGCATGGTCCCTGCAATGGAGTTTCTGGATCTAGCCTTTTGACACAAAGGTCTTGTGAGTGTTTACAAAGGGTGTGACATTCACAAAGGAATGGGAAAAATCCCTATCAGGCAGCTGGCAAGCTCTTCCAAAATTAGAGGCAGGAGGAAAGGGCTGCAAGCCACATACCCTGTCTGTTTTGGATTGGAAAGGTATAAAAAAACCTCAAGGAACCATGTGACTGGTTCCTTCTCTCATCCCAGTTCACTAGGAGCCTCATTCATTCATTTGTTGCTCAGGCTCTAGAGCTGATCTACAAAACTCCCAAGATTACCACTATGCTTTCAAGTACATGTTAACTAACATGCACTTAGTAGAAAATTCCCATATGGAGCCATTCAAAACTGGGTTTTACAGCTACCAGGTAAAATTGCCCCATGCATCTGGTGCACAGTCAGACCAAGAACGCCTGCAGCACATGTACACTCCTCCAGCATTAGGATTCTCCAATAACCCTAAGCAGGTAGGAGAACTGGCTCATGCTACAACCCTTCCTTGTCCAGCTGGCAGCATCTCCCAGAAACAGAGGCAAGGCAGGACAGGTGGAACTTCCACATACACTTCCATTTCTGGGAGGAGGGATGGACAGCCAGACCAGGAAAAGCCACAGGTGCCAGACAGGCAGGAGGCACTTTGCCAGGGCAGCACAGGGCGTGTGGTAGTGGCACAGAACTTCCCTGCACCGCTCTGCTGCACTGGGTCTCAGCAGAGCAGGGAGCCCTGAACCCACAGCCAACCCCTGCCCCACGCACAAATCTGAGGGTCATGTCCCTCCTATACTTCCGCCAGGAGTGTGCACACCAATGGGGAGCCAGCCCCTCCCCTGCCCCCTGGAAGAGCTGTCCCACTCCTTGTCCAGGCCCTGCAGCCACACATGGCCCTGGGCCCCAAGCCCCACATACTGCCTGAGCTGGGCTGCAGCCCAAACCCCAGCCCACCCAACTCCCTCCCTCATTATGGAGGCCTCAATTCCTCCCCGACTTACTTGTGGGAGCAATTCCCACCCCCACCCCCAACTTACCTGTGAGAGCTGCTCTCCAGGCTGCCTGGCAGCCATGTGAATATCTGAATGCACACATGCACATGGTACCCCCTTCCTAATAGCCTTCCTCCTGCTCCCCCCAGACCCTTCCAGGCTGCAACTCTGAAAGCACCATTTCACCATGCTTTTCTCTTTAAAAATGAAGAAATGAAAATCCAAGACTTTCTCCTTAAAAATGAAGAAATCTGGGATTGACCACATTTTTCCATGGTGAACAGAAAGCCTGGATCTGCGTTAATGATGCATGGAAGTTTTTTTGCCAGGTGCTAAAGTACTTTGGCCAGAAGTTGCTCTTGGCAGAAAAGGAAAATTAGGAGTGTAAGAAAAGCAGAGACAGAAAAGTATAGACTATCACAGTCCTGTTTTGATCCCCTGGAATTTGACATAAACTTCACAATTGATTTAAGTAAAAGCAGGACTGAGGAAAAAGTCTATTATTAAAGGGTCATCAAGGAATTTTTTTTTGGGGGGGGGGGGGGGGGGGTTCCCCCTGTTCTTTTGTAATGAACCTCCAAACTCAGAACCACTGAAGCCCCAGATAAGAGAAATGACAATTTTCACCCAGGCACATTTTGTGTGCTACATGTAATTCTAACAGGAGACTCCAGTCTGCTCTGGCCTGACATAGAAAGTTGCCCAGACAATGTAACATATTCAAGCCTAAGCAATACTCTGCCTTTCAGTTCAAAACTGATATAGAATCCAAGCAGAGCCAAGCCACTGAAAACCAAAAAGCCTGGGGAATACAAGCTGAAACCAAGTTCTAGCTTCAGCCATATCTAACATGTGACCTGCTTCAGCACATCTAACATGTGACCTGCTGCTGATCAATTTTATTGCTCTTCCTGCATGCCCACCTATTCCTGACAAGGCTGCTCTGCCTCTTTTCCCACAAGACCTAGAGACAAGAATCTACTGATTATATTGGACACTGCTTTATTGACAGGCATTAATGTAAGATTACCAAGAATCTGTGTTTTCTTTTTCCCCATGGACAAATGCAAATTTTCCCCTTTGAAACAGGAAACCAGAGTTCCAATCTGCAAGGGTGTTTGGGGTTAGGGGGAAGGCCACTAGAGGCAGGGGGTACCATGTGCATGTATATACACACACCACACACATACAACCAGGCAGGGTGGTGGGTGCAGCTCCTGCAGCTACCTGCAGGTAAGTCGGGGGGGGGGGGGGGGGGGGGAAAGGGGGGGGCG